GAGATTTTCACTTGCGGCTGATAGATATGATGAAACATCTGCATAGCTTTGCCCGTTTCCGGTAAGTGATTGATGAAGATCGTCCGTTAAACTGGGAAGAAAGTATACATTCATCATGTTAACCGTAAAAAATCCTACATTATCCATCGGTCCCGTATCTCTTTTTGTACTCGGGGATGAACCACGATATAATGATCTAATATATTGTGCCATTTCCACGTTTTGTTCTCTTTCATAGTATCTCGCGAGAGTTTCCATTTGAGAACAAGGATTACCTACTCGATTAATGCAAGGAAAGCAAGAAGAGCAAGGTTGCATCTCCTGAAATATCTCTTCCATCCTTGTATCATCTATCACACCATTTTCATCTAGCCAACCTTCCGCCGCAGATCTGGCTGCCGATCCTTCAGCTGATGTTGTTACAACGTCTTCTGCAGCAGCAGATTCGGCAGCGATGTCGGAGGTTTCTGCGGTAGCAGTTAAGGAGTCATACACATATGATCCAACTGTACATACAGCAAGCACGACAAAGAAAACGCCTATAATAATAAAAAGTCTGAACCAGTTTACTTTAGGCTGTGGTGGCGGTGGTGGGATCAATTCTTTTAGATTATCGGGGGTCATTTTAACACTTAGTTCACTAAGGGCATCATGGTACCCTCGATGGTGACTCTCCCAATGATCGAATAGCTTGTTTGCCGAATTAATCATGTGATATGTGGCAACACCATAACCTTCAGGATTGAACGAGCTGCCGGAACCGAACTCAAGAGATGCTGCGTATGCTCCAACTTCATAACCAGTCAAATAATCGATGCATTCGGCTACGTGTTCTGTTTGATTAATTGGAAAATTGGGTGCATCTGGGTGTTTACCTTCTTTGCAATACTGGGCAGTTAGATCGGTTGGAAATATATGTTCTGGATTAGGTATATTGTGACTATATGTAATTTTAGGGGTCGGAATAAGGTTAAGAGTATAATTACTTAAATTACACTTGTAGTTATTAAGGTTTTTTTCGGTATATGACAAAACCGAAAGATCTGTCCTGTTTAATTTCACCATAAAGCTGAAGCTACAATCATAAGTACATCCCCACATATTGATGTTTAAAGTTGTTAATGGTAACTCATGATTTATAGTTTGAACATCTCTGATAATAAGAGACGTCGAATAAGTAATGCCATCATCGTTTATATGGAACGCTGCATATTTAGAAGGTACGACCTGGTCGCACATACTAAAATCATGTTCTACGGTGATCCAATCAGCAATAACTGCCGATGAATAATGTATAAGAATGTATAATAAACCTTTCTTCATGAGTGAATTAAATTTTTTCCCTTGACGAAAAGATCAGGCAAACCTTATATACTGTTAATTACCCTACCCTCGGACAAACCATTTTTTTTTTTTCATTCAACATTTAAGAAATAATTTAATTTTACGATTACATAATTGGAATTCTCCATTTGTTTCTTTTTATTTTATTCTTTGAACCGTTTTTGCTATAACCGCAGTCGACCTATGAACAGTCGATCTCTCGTTTGATCCGATCTCGGAACATTACTTTATTCATTTATATATTTTTACACAACAAATTTTTTTT